CATAATACTATAATATGCGTTATATTTCTTTATTTTATTATGAGAGGAGATATATTAGGATAGTATTCTAAGATACTACTCTAAAAGATTTATTAAGATAATATTCTTTTTTTAGGTTTCTTCTTGTTGTCTCTGGCCACTAGCATTATGTTTTGTTGCATGTTATCAGACTTGAATGGTCACTAATTTTGAAGCCTTTCTGACTGAACAATACCAAGCTGTTTGTCATCAATGCCATCTATATCATGTGATGTAACACAGACTGCTATCACTTTTAAAAAAAACAGTTAAACTCTTCTTCAATCTGTTTCACTCGCTTTCCATTAAAATAAATAAGAGTATTTATAGTTTTTTGCATGATGTTGTCTTTAGGTATCCGAATCTTCAATTGTAGATTGCAGCTACTAATGAAGTTTGTAGGCCAATACCTATTATGTATCAAGCAAAAATCAAAGCAGTACAACCAGCACTAATATTTTCAGCACCTATGTTTATCATTATCTTCTCCATCCTCCTAAACCAAATATTTTTATTCTTATTCAAATATTCTCCATCCTCCTTAACCAAAAATATTTGTTCTCCACTGATTTCTAGAATGATTGGTTTGTCTCTGTAATATACATGTTTCTTTACTATTATACATGTTTCTCTAATTTCTGGTCAAGGTACAACTTATTATTCTTCATTATGACATTCTGTTCAAAAACAAAAGTGTTCTCCATAAATCTCTTAATGTTTTACTAAACTGTTTAATAAGTGTTTGACTGAATCTTAATCTTGACACCTGTCCCCTCCAACTGCTATCCAATCAGTCTTCTCTCTATTATAAGCAAAGTTTTTGATAATTGATCAACAAATTTCTAACATTCCAACTTGAGTCTAATATTTTACTCCCTGACAATTATGGTTTTTGAATTTTTTGTTTTAAGGCTGACTTGTTTACTGTAATGGCATGCTGGTCTTCTCCATACGCTTGCTTTATGTGACTTATCTGAGAAAGTTTTTTCAAATTATTTCTTTCTAATTGCTTTATTAATGTCATCTTCGAAGGCTAACACTCTTCTTCGTTTTCAGTACCTTCTGGAGTACCTAAAAGGGTTATACTTGGTCCTGTGTTTTTTTTTATCTACATCAATGATCTTCCTAACAATCTTGCATCTAAAGTGGCTCTATTTGTTGATAAGTAAAATTTATACCCCTGTCTAAATAAAAATCTGATCTCACTTTTGTAGCAGCATGGGGCTTGTAGTGCTTTTTGAATTATAACTTCAACAAAACTCAGTTGCTTACTTCAACCTAATTCCAATTGTGGTTAAGTTGCATTTCTTTCTATTTTCTACAAATGGTTGCTGCTCAAAGGAGCTAGCATCTCTAGTTCAATTAACCAAAACTCATTCTCGGATGAATCGTCATTCAGCAAAGTCACATTTTACTGTATCTGTTCCTGCATGCTCTAAAAATTATATAAACTATTTGTTTATTTTTTTTCTTCGGACTGTATGTATCACAATCTAATTATTTAAACAATTGATTATATATTTTGTATTTTATTGAAGAATATCTTTTTTTTAGATTTAGTACAAATCAGTAGTGAACATATACAGAATTTATCGAACAAGTTGGAAGACTGAAAACTTTGATACACTCAAAAAGTCACTTTTCAAGTTTAATTATTTCCTTTCGAAATTGAATATACAATCAATAATAAATTATACCAAATTAGAGTCACAAAGTAAATTTAACTTTCTTAAAGCAATATTTTAAATAAAAAAAATTTATTTAAATATTTTGAATAAAAAAAAAGAAAACTTGTGATTGTTGTGTTGTTTCTTCCTATTTTTTCTTTAATTTTTTTTCTTAAAATTAACGCTATTATTTAGCAACTAAATTTTCTTTTTAATTTAAAATGTATCTTAAAAGAAAAATTTGAAAGAAAAAATGTTGTATTTTATAATATTAAAAAAAAGAACAGGCTAAAACATTTCTATATTAACTAACTTGTTTTTTTTATTATTATTATTTTGCTTGTAATGAATTAAGAAGTAAGAAGTGTTAATCAAGGAAGAGTATATAATACTTTTTGTAACATCAAAACTTTTTGAAGTGTTAAGTGAAATTAAGCTTCATAAATATAAAGACTGTACTCCTCTCATTTCGGTTTTATAAACTTATTGCTCAGGATAACTAATTACTCGACAGTTTCATTAGACTTTTTTAAAATCATTTTTTTAAAACGACTTTTAGCTTGTAATCTTAATCTGCCTAATAAAAGCCAAAAAAATTAGGCACCTTTTTTTTTGAGTAACTCAAACTATTAACCTGAGCAACTTTCAAAGCAACTGTGCAACTTTTAAACTTGTTAAAAAGCAAAAAAATTATTGGTTTAAGATTTAAAAAAAAAAAATCGGTTAACGACTATGTATTCAATATATCAAAAGTTTTTTGCTCTTTGTGAGTACATCCTCGTTCTAGTTCCGCAACATCTTCAAAACTTTAAAACGTTGTTAATATTTGTTTAAACTAGCTTAACAATTTTTTTTTATTGGCCGTTATATACAACTCTTTGATGTTCTATAATTTTCTAGTTTCATAATTAGTTATTTCTTTTAGAGAAGTAACTAGCCAAAGTGTAGATTTACGGAGTAAATCAACATTTTGTTCAAAATTAACTTTTGTTTTGTTCAAAATTAACTTATGTTGCAAATGTCTTATTTAGCTGAGTAATTATTTTTTTTAGACGGTTAAAATAACAAAAGTAATACTGTTTGCTGTATCATGCTATTAATAACAATCCCTCAGTAAGTAACGAATGTTTACATGATAGTTGAAATAAAAGATAACTGTTTTATTTAACAAAAACCTACTATCCAATGAGTTCTGTTTTGATGTCGTAGCTCAATTTATAGTTGCAATTTAAACTTATTTGGTTAGAAAGCAACGAGTGTCCTGTACAAGCATGAAACTAACCGAATAACCTTTGATGATAACAAATGTAAAAACGTACTATATCAGAATTGGCCTCACTGACCAATATTAGTTTTCAAATTTCATATTTTTACTTTAGCGAAAATGCCGTTACGTAAGTATTTTAAACAAATCATATTTTAGTCATGACTAACTTGCAATGCAAGTTTTTTAATGTTTGGTCTTTTTTCTCTACATATCCGTTGCTTAACACAATGAGAGAGGACCTTGTAAAAATGTTTTTTTTTTTTCTTTTTCAAGATAATGAGCTTAAAATCGAAAAAAATGAATTTTGATTTTTTGTTTATAACATATAATATATATATCCGTCTATTGGATGATAGGAAAAAGAAGTTTGTAAATACAACTTGTATATTTCATTATTTTAAGTTACTTTACCATCACAACAACCGTTCTACTACTCCTCACTACATTGACTCATGACAGGCTTAGTTTTCTAAATTTGATGAGTACTGAATATGATTTAATTATAATTTCAATTCATCTGTTTCCCCTCGCTAGATATCTTCAACTTTGCGTGTTAATTGTGTTTAACTATTTGCTTGTTTATTAGTGAAATATAAATATTTCATCAATCTGTTGTGCATGTACAGTTCTTAATATAATCACATTATTATGAATAAGAATGCTACCTTTTTGTGTTTTTAAGTTAGAGTGTTTTATTTAACTATATGGTTCAACTATGTTAATTAAAGATGCTTAAGAAATGCACATCACTATTATTAAAAATATATAGAATTATCTTTTTTGTGTTTTTAAGGTAGAGTGCTTAAGGATTTATCTTTAATGCCATAGAGTTCTAATTTTTTAAATAGAATGTGGTGATCAGCAGTATCAAAAGCTTTAGACAAATCGATGAATACTCGTAGGGTATAATGAGAATTTTTAAAAGAATCAGAAATGCTACGTGTTAGTTGGAGTACGACGTGTTCAGTAGAATTGTATCTCTAAAAGTCATATTGATTATTATATAAAAGTTTAGTATCAACAAAATAATTGTTGGCTGTGTTATACATTATTCTTTCTAATATTCTAGAAAAAACTAGGAGAACTGAAAGAGAACAATAACTTTTAATGTAGCAATGGTCATCTGATTTAAAAATAGGAGTTATTTTTGATACTTTTAGAGAGTCTGGAAAGGATCCTTGAGCAATAGATACTTTGTAAAATTTTATAGATACTTAAAACAAATTTTAAAAAGTATATCTTTTAAAACGACAAATTAGACTATTACAACATTTCCATCCCCAATCCCCATGTTGCGTTTTAATGATTTAAACGCTGCTTCAAATTCATTGTATGTTAGGTAAAAAAAATTTTAAATAGGTGATGTTATAAGCTCATCCATTAATTTTTCATTAAGATAAGGAATTTTATTTGATAAGATTGTTCCGATTGAAGAAAAAAATTTATCAAATTCAAAAGCAATTTTGTTAGGGTCATTAAATAATTTATTTTTTATTTTTATTGCATTTGGTACTGATATTGTACTTTTCTTATTTTTTCCCCTGACCTCTTTCATTAGTTGCCAAATACGTTTTGAATAATGTTTCTGCTTTGCAAACAAGTCGGTGTACTAAATTCATAGTTGAAATCATAAAAAAAAAATATTAAAAAAATCACTTTAAAGAACACATTTTTAGGATCTCAAAATAAAATTCTAAAACTATAATTTATTGTCAAAAATGTTGTTAATAGTTACCAAATATCTTAAACAAAAGGCTTCAAATTAAGACAATTAGTTATAAAATGAATAGTAAATCGATAACAGGGTATAAAGTGGCGAGGGATTAAAAGTTGTCTAAAATATATTTACATCCTCTAATGACCCCATAGTTTATTGAAAGATAATCCAACCTTACTTACTTAATATGAAGGTTAGATTATGTTTCAATAAACTATGTGGTCATTACAGGTAAATGCGAGGTAGGGTTGTTTTAAAAATATAAAGTTCTCTAAACAATTACATGTTTTTTTCATACGCAAATGGTTTATAAATAAAAATTTTCGTTTACAAGTTTAAAACAAAAAATTTATTATCGTAAAATAAATAAATTAATCTTTCGTTATCAAGTTTACAAGAGGACTGCTTTCCATCATGTTACAAGCGCAACCGCTTTTTATTTCTCCGTCATACTCTCTCCATTCTGCAAGCCTATTTATTCCGACATTATTATCGTCGCTGCGGAATTTCATAGATATTTTCAACTGAGTTGCAACACCTTCTTTTCCAAAACATCTAGTGTCTCCACAAACAACTTCATTAATGATTGGTGGAAATCTGTAAATTTGTTTGTTTTATAAATAGTATTGTTAAATTAAATCTTTATGTGGTATAAAGTAAAAAAAAAAATACCTTGTTTGAAGTGTATTTATTTGAATACACGTTTTTGCGAGGTAAATAACATTGTTATCTGATGGCAACGTTTCTTTTGGATTGACGCATAGGGTCGTCGTTGTTTCGCTTCCATCAGCAAGGATTTGTCGGCGATAAGGTGGTTCGTAAATATACCCACAACTCGTTTCATTTAAAATGCGGTTAAGCTCGTAAACCTTTCGCAAAGTTCTTTTGCTAACTTTTTTTGCACACGAAAGCTTGGGTAAAATGTAATTAAGTAGAAGATTGGGTAGGTTTTTACCTTCTGATTCGCTTAATGCAAACAATCCAGGAAACACTGTTTTGGCATTTTCATAAACGGTCCAAATCTTGAGATTTTTAGAATATTGTGATCTTATCTCTTTACTAAGCATATGAACGTTGTCTTTATCATAAATTGTTGGTTTACGAACTTCGTAAGTATCTTCGTCTATTCCTTGAAGCAATAGAAAGTTCAAGAAAACCAAAAAACACCGAAGCATAATCTAGAAAATTAATTAGTAGTCATATGATATATAAACATTGAATAAAATAAATAAAACCGTTATCCACCTTGATCGATGTTACAAATAAATAAACAAACATAAAAAATGATCACGAAACAGTTACCATTTTAGCCGAACTTTTTTTCTTACATACGTGACAATAAAAACAAATTAACAATTTTGCGTCTTTTTATGCACGAAATTTTGATAACTTTAGTTAATTGTTACAGCTAATTATTTCTTAGTAGTTAATACTTAACTATTTTTATGAGTGGCGTAAAACCATTTACACATTTTAACTGCACATTATAAAAGGAAGATATAGCTAGTTTAGGAAGTTTTAAATTTAACTACTTATAATTGTGTTCGATTAAGTAATTTAGAATTCAAAGAAACAAAAAGTAAATAGAAACTCAGCACAGTTCTGCTAAAAAAAATATTTTCTTGAATGACATAAGTTAAGTCTTTTTACACTATTTTGTTACAGTGTTTTATAAGTAGCATAAATATGAAATAAAAAGGAGTTCGGGACTGCCTATTGGCACCGTTTTTACTAAAAGTTTACATATATAGAATTTATTATTTTAAGCAGTGAAGTTAAGACGTTCCCCGTTATAAGAAAGACAAAGAAGCCAACTTCACTTCAATAGAAATTGAATCTCTATATATAAATTGTTCCTAAAACGTGTTGCATCAAGACTTCCTGATTTTAATATTTATTAATTGTATGAAATATTTATGTCTTTGGTTTCCTCGTCTTAACTTGACTTTTTAAAATAAATAAATTCTATATATGTAAATTGTTAGTAAAAACGGTTGCACTGGTCACTATTCAACTCCTTTTTATTTCATATTTAAACTACTTTTAAAAATACCGTAACAAAATAGTAATGAAATACTTAACTAGTTTAGTTTCAAATTAATACTCGACAAAGTGCATAAGCATAAAGGCGGCTTTCCACGGAGCGAATCATTTTGCACGAAGCGAACTTTTTTGTCACTAATTTTTCGTAGAATCAAAACTTTAATTTCCACGTATCTTTTAGCGCGCTTTTTAGAAAACATGTTGATTAAATGAAGATTATTTTTAGTTCGAAGAAAATTAACTATTATAAAAATGTTGCGAATGAAACGAGAAAAAGAAAAAAAGAGAAAACAATTTTGGGAAAGGAAAATTTATACCGAACGCCTTCAGAAAGGAGAGTTTCATTTATTAGTCCAGGATTTACGTTAACACAACCAGGACTTTTAACACAACTTTTTTAAGTATTTTTCTATGTCTCCTACGACTTACGAAGAGTTGCTTTCGTTTGTAGCACCTATCATTGTGAAACAAAGAACTAGCATGAGAGACCCTGTGAGTCCGAGTGAAACGCTTGCGGTAACACTTAGATTTCTTGTAACAGGAGATACTCAGTGTACTATTGCTGCAAGTTACATAATCAGCGCATCTACTATCAATAGGATAGTTTGCAAAACATGTGCTGCTATTTGGACATCATTGAAAGAGAGAAATTTTCAATGCGTCCCATCAGAAAAGCAAGAATAGAAAACAGTTGTAAAAAAATTTGAAAACATGTGGAATTTTGCCGCATGCTATAGGTGCAATAGATGGCACATCGTTATGCAAGCTTCTCATAATGGCGGATCACAGTACTTTATCTGTAAGAAAACGCATAGCATAGTTCTTTTTGCTGTTTGTAATGCTAAATATGAGTTTACTATGGTAGACATTAGTGACTTGGGAAGACAAAGTGATGGTAGCATTTTTAACAATTGTAGTATTGGTTATGCAATTGAAAATAACATTTTGAATATTCCTGATCCTGAATATATTTTTAATTCAGAAAAAGTATTACCGTACGTTTTAGTCGCCGACGATGCTTTTGGTTTAAAAAAACACATGATGAAACCACACCCTAATCAAAACATTCCTTTAGAACAAAAAACATGCTCCTGATCTGGTCACACGGTTACGTTTATCTAAACATTTTTTTAGTTATCTTTCAGATTTTTCACTTTTTCTGAAGGAAGTCCTCTTCTTAACAAAATTTCAATGCAAGTTTTTTCCAAGAGTTTATTTTAAACAATCTGTCTTTGTATGTGGGATGATTCACATCCCACAAGCTTGGAAACTCACGAACAGCTTCTATAGTTTATTGAAGCTGTTCGTGAGTTTCCTGCTGAATTCGGTATAGACCATTTTATAGTATAAAATGATCTATATCGAATTCAGCAGGAATAAAATTATCGTTTTCGTTCTCTTTGTTTTCGTCTATTTCATCAACTATTTCTTCATTCGTGATTGCAAATTGATTTTGAGAAGCATTTATTAAAGCTTCCAAGAAATCTACGCTAACATTTTTTTCTTTAAACCACTCAATAAACGTGTTACTATTGTAGGCCATTAAAATTTTGTTGTGTTTATTTTTCTACATGTTGAACTTGCATATTCACTGAGCTTGCATATTTCAAAAGTTCTGATTTGCTCTTCCATCAAGCGAATAAATGCGCCTCAGAAAAAGTTGAAGTCAACGCAACTGTTTTGCGAAGAGCTAGGCGATAAAAAAATTGATTCTCCGCATGCTCAGAAATATTCGCGGCGAAACAGTTCGCGTGGCGCGAAATATTTTGCTCCGTGGAAAGCCGCCTTAAGAGAGAGAATAACAGTAAAGGGACATATCAACATTTTTTTTAAACCAACAATTTAAAAGTAATATTCTTGAATTTTTCAAAATAAAAGATATGTGGAATCTTTTTTAAACAAAACTGCAGCAAGACAAATTTGTTCCCCATAAAATATTGGTAACTAACAAGCAATGTTATTGCCAGATTAAACAAAACTTGTTTTAACAGTCACAACTTTTCTGGCAATTTTCTTTCCGAAACTGCATTTAATTTTTAATAATTGCATCAATTTTTTTTTCTACACTGCATTCTCTTATATTTAATGTATACTTTTTAAAAATAGATGAAGTGATTGAAGAGTGCGCTGAGTCTTTTATATTTAAAAAGGTAGTTAGAGTCGAGATATTTGTAGAATCCGAGCAAGTTTTAAGTAAAAAACGTCTTATTGTCTTTTACTTTATTTTTTAAGCAAGAAAATGGTATTGTTTAAATTAATTTATTTTGTACCTTAACTCGTATAATTTGAAAATTGTATATAAACAATGGTCTATTAATGGTTTTGTATAATTACTTTCAATCTAAAAAATTATCAATTGTCTTTTATTAATTAAGAAGAAAGGTAAAAACATTCTGGCATCAATTGAGATCGACATTGTTTTTGTTCATTTATCCCATATAAAAATGGCTCCGAAATCTCATACGCCAAAACCATCCCTTATGAAGGTCGGTGTTAGGCAGTCCCGAACTCCTTTTTATTTCATATTTATGCTACTTATAAAACACTGTAACAAAATAGTGTAAAAAGACTTAACTTATGTCATTCAAGAAAATATTTTTTTTAGCAGAACTGTGCTGAGTTTCTATTTACTTTTTGTTTCTTTGAATTCTAAATTACTTAATCGAACACAATTATAAGTAGTTAAATTTAAAACTTCCTAAACTAGCTATATCTTCCTTTTATAATGTGCAGTTAAAATGTGTAAATGGTTTTACGCCACTCATAAAAATAGTTAAGTATTAACTACTAAGAAATAATTAGCTGTAACAATTAACTAAAGTTATCAAAATTTCGTGCATAAAAAGACGCAAAATTGTTAATTTGTTTTTATTGTCACGTATGTAAGAAAAAAAGTTCGGCTAAAATGGTAACTGTTTCGTGATCATTTTTTATGTTTGTTTATTTATTTGTAACATCGATCAAGGTGGATAACGGTTTTATTTATTTTATTCAATGTTTATATATCATATGACTACTAATTAATTTTCTAGATTATGCTTCGGTGTTTTTTGGTTTTCTTGAACTTTCTATTGCTTCAAGGAATAGACGAAGATACTTACGAAGTTCGTAAACCAACAATTTATGATAAAGACAACGTTCATATGCTTAGTAAAGAGATAAGATCACAATATTCTAAAAATCTCAAGATTTGGACCGTTTATGAAAATGCCAAAACAGTGTTTCCTGGATTGTTTGCATTAAGCGAATCAGAAGGTAAAAACCTACCCAATCTTCTACTTAATTACATTTTACCCAAGCTTTCGTGTGCAAAAAAAGTTAGCAAAAGAACTTTGCGAAAGGTTTACGAGCTTAACCGCATTTTAAATGAAACGAGTTGTGGGTATATTTACGAACCACCTTATCGCCGACAAATCCTTGCTGATGGAAGCGAAACAACGACGACCCTATGCGTCAATCCAAAAGAAACGTTGCCATCAGATAACAATGTTATTTACCTCGCAAAAACGTGTATTCAAATAAATACACTTCAAACAAGGTATTTTTTTTTTTACTTTATACCACATAAAGATTTAATTTAACAATACTATTTATAAAACAAACAAATTTACAGATTTCCACCAATCATTAATGAAGTTGTTTGTGGAGACACTAGATGTTTTGGAAAAGAAGGTGTTGCAACTCAGTTGAAAATATCTATGAAATTCCGCAGCGACGATAATAATGTCGGAATAAATAGGCTTGCAGAATGGAGAGAGTATGACGGAGAAATAAAAAGCGGTTGCGCTTGTAACATGATGGAAAGCAGTCCTCTTGTAAACTTGATAACGAAAGATTAATTTATTTATTTTACGATAATAAATTTTTTGTTTTAAACTTGTAAACGAAAATTTTTATTTATAAACCATTTGCGTATGAAAAAAACATGTAATTGTTTAGAGAACTTTATATTTTTAAAACAACCCTACCTCGCATTTACCTGTAATGACCACATAGTTTATTGAAACATAATCTAACCTTCATATTAAGTAAGTAAGGTTGGATTATCTTTCAATAAACTATGGGGTCATTAGAGGATGTAAATATATTTTAGACAACTTTTAATCCCTCGCCACTTTATACCCTGTTATCGATTTACTATTCATTTTATAACTAATTGTCTTAATTTGAAGCCTTTTGTTTAAGATATTTGGTAACTATTAACAACATTTTTGACAATAAATTATAGTTTTAGAATTTTATTTTGAGATCCTAAAAATGTGTTCTTTAAAGTGATTTTTTTAATATTTTTTTTTTATGATTTCAACTATGAATTTAGTACAAAGACGTAATTCTAATATTTTCCCATTGATAGTCATATATGAAAGCAGAAAAAATAAAAATCTTTTTGCCCTAATTTAATATAAGATCTTGTAAACATTTTTTTTCCTATTTGAAAATAAAACTAAAAAAATATTTTAAATCCACACTTATATATAGTTAATATATCAATACTTTAATATGTTTAAACATAGTATAATTTATAAATAAAACAACAGTATTGTGCAACAGAACATTTTTTCATTTTATACTTAAAATTTAATAAAAAAGTTATTACAATACAAAAAACAATCGGGATATAATTTTTCGATTATGTAATAATAATTGGAAAATTGTGTTAACTAGCTATCGTTACCAAATAAAAATTTATATACGCTCAATTTTATTTTAGGTACCAAAGTATAGCATTTATACGTGGTGCTTAAAATAAAAATTCGAAGACTAAAATACTTTCTTAAAGAGTTAAATAAAAAAAATTAATAGATCAGGCAAAAATTTCATTTTGTTTTTACAAACTAAAAAAGAAGAAAAAAACCAAATGCCTCAGAAACGTAAGATTCCAGGTTCAAACCCCACCTCTGAACAAGTTTTGCGACATCGGTTGGGAAGGTTAACTTATTATTAAATGCTCTTCCGCGGTGCTCTGTGATAAGACCGTAAGGACTTTTTGGGGCACCTTAATCAGCTTGAAAAAAAAAAAATGAAAGAATTTAAAACAAAGTTTAAAAGTAACGTAAGTAAAATAAAATTAATAAAAAAAGTTAAATATAAAAAGGTAAAAAATGAATAGACTGCACACCGGATCTTAGTCAGAAGGACCAGTTATCATTGGTCATGCGATTTGTAAAAATTAATGTATAAAAAATGAATGCAACTTCTCTTAAGAGTGAAAATGAAGATTTAAGCATCGAAGAACATTTCCATGGATTCTTAGACGTTAAATCAACAACGGGAAAAAATCTAACTGATGCTTTTTTACAAGAATTAGATGAAATTGGATTGCAAATCAGGGACTAAAGCGGACAATGATATGACAACCGTTCCAATATAAAAAGTATTTACTCTTGAGTTCACTGTATTTACGCTTAAATATAGGCTGTATTCACGCCTAAATAAATCCAAAAGCATTTTACATGCCTCGCGCTAGCCATAGCCTTAACTTCCTAATTTGGGACGCAGCAAAATGATTATCTAAATCTATGACGTTTTTTGGTGTTGTGCAAAAAATTTATGTACTTTTTTCTTCGTCAAAAATTTTTCGATTATGTACTTTTTTCTTCGTTTCAAATTTTTATTCAATACGTACTAAATTTGGCTGTAAAAAGGTTCTGTGACACTCGTTAGGAAATTAAACTGGAAAGCGTAAAAGCGCTTCGATATCAAATTAAGGAAGTTCATACTGCATTAGTTGAACTAGTTAAGTTCACTGAGGATCCAAAAAAAAGACCAATAGTGAAACACCATCAGTTATGAATGAAATAAGTTATAAAAAAAAGCCTAAAGACTCAAAAAATACACCTTGGAGTTGCGTCGCAGTTACTTCAAAGGCTAGTTCAGTTTTTTTTCAGAAATTTAGATTTAGGTTTTGTGGCGGCAACATTGTTAGCAAGAAAACTTCGTGAAATTCTTGGTGTAGAGTAAAATTATCTAACCCTGGACAATTGTTTTTACAGTATTAATAACACTGTACTATTAATTATAAATATTTGCCAGTATTCTACTATAAAATTAATGTCTATTATTTTACAGCGTAAACACATTATATAACATCTACCTACCTATGAGCACCCTTCATAATGATTGCTGAAAACATAATATTGTGCAAATAAGATTGCTATTTTGAAAAAAATATGTTATATTATTTATAACTGATTATTCAATAATAACCCCAAAAAAGGAAAAATTTATTTGTTATTCTAATTTATTTATTTCTTGTAAGACAAAAATTATTATTTATTTTACATTATTTAGCCTTTAATAACTTTAAGAATAAACTTTATTGTTATTATAGATTATTTTATAAAGCACTCAATCCTTTTTATAAACATACACAAAAGTAACAACTCAAAATTCTACCAAACCGAAATATATGTTTTGCACTTATACAGCCTCTTTTCAAACAGTAAGAAAAAAAGTTTTTCTCCGTCAAAGTGCCTAAAATAATGACTTTCAAGAAGGCCTCGCATCATCTAAGGACGGCTCTGGCTCTGTATATATATATATATATATATATATATATATATATATATATATATATATATATATATATATATATATATATATATATATATATATATATATATATATATATATATATATATATATATATATATATATATATATATATATATATATATATATATATATATATATATATATATATATATGTATATATATATATAGTCTCGTCTGCCAACTAGACGTCCTAGACCAATAACTAAAGCAAAAATAAAACCGATGCAATCCGACAATTTTACAGTTTCACCTAGCCATCTATGTTACTGGGCAAACAACCCGTGTTCACTCAACTATGAAAAACGCCAAGAGCTCTTTGCTAGACTATCAACTCTACATAAACTTAGCCGGCCGCACGTCATTTTTTTTGCGGAAACTTGGTTCACAGATTTATCAGACGTTGCCGTACCCGGCTAGCAACCACATCGCAAAGACAGAGACAATAGGGGCGGTGGAGTTGCAATTTACACAAGAGACGATATCATAGTCAGCGAAGTTAGTTCTACTTAGCTCAACTCAACATCAATTGAGCAAATCTGGCGAAAAGTAAAACTTGGTCAAGAATCATTTCTCCTTGGCTGCTTATATCGTCCACACGACAAAAATGATCTAAATCTTACTAAGTGTATCACATCGATCACTACCGCTCAACAAATACTGCCTAATATAAACTGCTCTGCAATGCTACTGTATGGCGATTTCAATTTTAGCCATACATCTTATGAGCCTATCGAAATTAACGGTGACATTGCAACTATTGCTCACGTGAGAGGTGAGCGTCAAGGCGACATCAGGTTCTAGAAGTGCCTTGATGAATGTCACTTAACTCAGCTTATCACATTACCAACCTACCGTAGTAGTCGACACGTCGAGCCAACTAGCACACTCGACCTTATTATAACAAACGAGCCAGATCGTGTAATCTTCATTAAACAAGGCAATTCTTTTGGTGACACTCCAATGGGCCAAGCACACTGCTTCATCGAAGGCCAATTTGCTGTTGCAAGCCTCAACAATTCGCCTACTTTGCCGCTAAAATTCGACTTATTTGGAGTCGAGCAAACTACGCAGTAATATCAGCACATATTGCAGTTGTTGACTGGGAAACAGTATTCACTGGACTAAATGCAAACGAAGATTATCAACTTCTAGCAAACGTTTACAATGAAGCCACTGACCTACACATTCCGTCAGCTACCACTCCCTTTACAGGAAAACAGGAGCAATGGGTAACACCAGAACTTATTGAGGTGGTCAAAGCTAAACGCACCTCTTGGGCCAAAAACATTAAACAGGTCAAACCACGCACAAATTTCTCAAAACATCGCATCGCACTGCCTGCAAAAAAGTTAAAAAAATGGTCAAAGCTGGTAGATAGAAGTACGAAGAGCTACTCGTCAGGGATTCCGAAAGCAACTCTAAACGCTTACATGCATATAAAAGAAGCAAGCAGAGCGTCAATACCAACATTACATCGCTTGAAACAGTCAATAGCAACATCATAACCGATACCGGTGAAATATGCGCATCGTTAAATAACTATTTTCAATCAATCTTTGTTTTAGAGCCCGAAGGTTCAATGCCAGGCTTTGAAAGTCGTACAAAAGCACTTTGTGTCATCGATCCAACTATTTTCACTATCGACATAGTACAAAAATGTCTAAACAGCCTTGATGAAAGAAAATCAACCGGCTACAATGGCTTACATCCACGGGCCCTCATTAAATGTTCAACTACCTTTGCCAAACCTCTTTCACTTATCTATAAACGCCCGTTTGCAACTGGTGTAGTTCCTGACTTGTGGAAAAAACTGAACGTAACACCTATTTTCAAGAAAGGGAGCAGGCTAAAAGCATCCAACTACCGGCCAGTCTCGCTCACTTCCATACCTTGCAAAATTATAGAAAATATTTTTCAACAAAGAATAATGGAACACTGCGTTGCTAATGGACTAATTTCTCCAAACCAGCATGGCTTTGTTCATCGTAAGGGATGCGTATCAAATCATTTAGAAACTCAGAACATCTTGACGGAAGCAACTCACTGCAGACACACAGTAGACGTCATCTACACAGACTTTGCAAAGGCGTTCGACAATATACCACATAAACGCCTCCTTCATAAGCTGAAAGCGTACGGTATTCAAGGCGCTCTCATTGATTGGATTGCAGCTTGGATAAGCAATCGATGTCAACGATTAGTTATATACAGCATTAATTCTGAATGGAAAGCAGTCACTAGTGGAGTGTAAATGACCTGCCGGACAGAATTACTCATCATATGAAACTGTTTGCTGACGACAGCAAAATAATAGGGATAATTAAAAAGGAGTCAGATAGCATCACTCTCCAAGATGACGTTGACAGAGCAGTAAAATGGTTACACATTTGGCTCTTGCATTTTAACGTTGAGAAATGCAAAGTAATGCATGTTGGGCGCGGATGTAACAAGTCGACGTACAAATACTCAATGTCTAACGTTGACGGCACCCGTTGTCCTCTCGAAAAGAGCAGTCGAAAGAGACCTTGGTGTGTTGGTCTCAAATGATCTTAAAGTCAGACCACAAATAGAGTCAGCGGCATTAGTAGCAAATAGAATGCTAGAGCGACTCAAAAAAACATTTCGCAGTCGCAGTTTTTATTTATGGCGCACTCTGTATCTCACTTACATTCTTCCCCATCTTGAGTTTGCTGTACAAGCCTGGTCAACGATTTTAAAATCAGACATTGCCATTCTCAAGCAAGTCCATCAACAAGCAACAAAAACAATATCGACTATTAAACACCTGTCCTTTGAAGATCGACTCCAACGGCTCGGTTTAACAACTCTTGAAGAACGCCGCAAAAGAGCACATCTTATTGAGCAATTTAAAATCACTCGTAAACTTGAGCTTGTCAGTTTTGTTGTCCCGCAAAAATTTTCAAAAAGTAAAGATAATATATATATAAATATATATAAATTATAAATAAAAATATATATAAAAATTTTCAAAAAGTAAAGATAATATATATATAAATATATATAAAGATAATATATATATAAAGATAATATATATATAAAAGTAAAGATAATAAAGTATATTCTAAGAGGCCATAACCATAAGCTAGAACGTCAGATGGTAAAAAACTGTGAGGAGTGATATAACTTTTTTTCAAATAGAATTGTCGCCCATTTTCGCAAGAAGCAGTGAACGCTTAATCCATCAACGCCTTCAGAAACAACATAAGAAAGTAACTTTATAGATACAACTGCTGCTTCGTCTGTAGCGTCTGTCAAGGTCATCGGCTCACAGGATTTTAGATTATTGCCGTGGCGCTCAGTATTTTTAAAATTTTTTTTCAGTATTACCAATAAGAAAAATCTAAACTTTTTAGATATGATTTTTTTGAAAAAAAATTTTGAGCAAAAACTTTAAATATAAGAGCCGTTCTAAAAAATGCGTTGCATTACCGAATGCATCGAAAAAGAGGGTTTATGCATGGGGATCATAAAAATGACATTCGGGTATGTTTTTTTATTCATTTTCTTTAAATCAAGCTATAAACTAAATAAATCCACATTTTGACAATTTTCATATCATCGTGGCGTTTTTAATTTTCTGAGTTCAATTAAACTTTATATAATATATTAGTTAACAAATCTCGTACTTGGGTTTTCAAAAAAAGTCGTTTAATAAAATTTTTTTTATATAGGTTTTTAAGAAAATTTTTTCTGCTGGATATATTATTTACTAAATCGAATGTCTAAAATGTATAGACTTTGCTTTTGAAACAAAAAAGATTTTTTTGGAATTTGGTTTTAACTGTGAGGTGTTGCATTACCGAAACTACTCAGGTTGGATTACCGAAATTACTGGTTTTCGCTTATAATTGAATTTGAAAGGTCATTTTTAGTCAATCATTTTTAAGTTACTGTTTTAAGATAAAACATATTTACTCTTTTTTATCCAAAAAATAAAATTGATGCAAATAATAATTGTAAAATCGAGCGAAAAATTATTCAAAGTCTCAGAGGCGTGTTATAGGACTTTCAGGGTAAAGAAACGGACAATCAATTAAAACAGGGTAAATTTTTTATTAAAGAATATAAAACTATATATTGAACGTTTATGTAAATAAATTTTAAATAAATAAATAAAGCTTTTAATACAACATTTATAGTTAACAAATGCGCTCATTTTGAATACACAAATAACACTATTTTTGATTATTTTAAAATAAAAACTTTACAGCAATCTTCTGACATCTTTCTTTAAATCAAAGTAATAAATTTTTCAAGTATTTTTAAACTAATTTTGACTTTATGAAAAAAATACGCACAGCAAGTTGTTGTTTTAAACAATCTTCCCAGCAAAAATTTTACAGCGGAATTATAGTAGACTTTTATAGGCATTTTGAGAGTTTCCCACTTTTTTTCCACTGTGAAAAGGCTCTTTGGTTACATAGTGGACCACAATATGCAGTCGTCATAATGGCTAGCCAACAACTAGCTTTTATATTACATGTTGAGGAGTTATTGGTTAGCCACTTTTAGCGAATCCCTTAAGAAACCTATGAGCAAAACTCTAATTAACTGCTCAAAATGCTTATATAGGTCCATTGCAAATCCACATTAAAATAATTGCTGGGTTAATAAAATTATAAATGGGTATCATTTTCACAGATTTTTATAAAAACACAGTTATTTATAGTTTGTTCAAATATAAAAGTTCAAAAGTGTTTCATTAATTTAGTTCATAGTCTTAACCAGAGAGACTGATATTATTCTATTTAGTAAAATAGTGGGTTTTGATCACTGTTTTATTATTTTTAATAAAAGAATTGTATATTCTAGTTAAAAAAAAATCATGATTATTATCATTAAGTACATATCTTATTTAAGTTAATTGATCATAAGTTTGTGAATCATAGTTTTTTGCATAGATGCTTTAAATGCAAAGGAAAATTACTATTTTAATGTGGTCTTGTTGACGACACCCTCTAACACAAATTTTTAAAAACTTTACTTTGCAGCAATTTTATTGATTATAACTAATTTTTTAAAAATCCTGATAACATTTTTTTATTGCAAAATTTATATAAATTAAACAGAAGAGAGTGGACACTAGATTTCGTAAGGTACAAACTTATAAAAGAATAAACACACCATTACATCAAAAAAGAAAGTTAACTTAATCTTTGATCAATTCTATGCAGAACTTCTTAGCCTAGCAAAAAGAAACAATCTTAACAATTTTTATGCTATAAAAAAAGTTTTTTAGGCGGTTTAGTTTCGTTGTACAGATTTTGACGACAAGGAATGTCAACACCGCATTTGCCCAAGAGAAACTGAGACTTAGTGCAAATATCATTTAGAGAAAGTTCATTGTGAAAATACTTATGTAGAGCAAGTAAATATTTTTGCTACATACGCTTCAGTCTTCAACATTTTGAAACCAACTTTTACTGATTTATCTTCAGATGATTTACTTAAACACCAACGAGACACTGAACCAGATTATTTGGAGACGCTGTCCAAAACGTATTTTTGTGAGTAGAGGGGTCATTGAGTCTGCAGTTAATTCGTCTGAGATTGAATTTTATGCAGGTCCTAATGGAGTCTTATTTGTACTTAATAAATTTTAACTAACAGGATATGTAACGTCTTTGAAACTTAATGATAAGAATAAAGAAGCTATAAAGCGGTCTTTTCAATAGTCCACTGAACGTGTTAAAAAGAGAGCTAAAAACAATTAAAAAGGCTTAGTTTGACAAAGATGATAAAGAAAGACTTAGTTAGACAAAGGTAATAAAGAAATTGATAAAGAAAGAACTCAAAATATGTTCATGGAGGGTTTTAATATGTTAATATGAACTTTTTATTATGGTTTTATTCTTTTGTTTTATATGTTTGTCGTTTCCTCAAAACTAAGTTTTGCCTCGAATACAAATCTTTAAAATATAATTAACTTTAAACTCGTTTAAGCTTTGAACTAATTTTTTTTTGCGATTTTTTACATAATTAAAAAGGATACGGATGAGAGAAAGACATTTAAAACAAAATAAGGGAAGTACTTTTTCATGAGAAAAATGCTAGACGAATTGTTCAGCAATTTTTCTATGTTTGTTTCAAATGTTGTAACCTTTTATATACTATAAATAATAAAAAATGCTTCACTTATCTGGATTAATATACCTCATTAGTATATAAACCAATTTTCAGCTTGATATGATAAATATTTTGATCACAAAAATTGCTAGTTTTTTCACTCTTAGACCAATGAAGCAGTAATATTTTAAATAACTGGGTAATCGAGACATTTTTAAAAAGTTGTTTCTTTAAAATAGTTTATAGAACAAGATTTTTGGCGAAAAATATAAATCAAAAAAGTTTTTCTATCAAAAGTTTTCCTTTTCTGTGGAGGACCACCTTAAGCTTAAGAATAAAATTTAAAATTTATTTAAAATCCATACTTCAAAACAACAATTTTTACTATGTAAAATAAAAGCTGTTTATTTACAGTTTTAACAATTGAATAATGTTATTTAGAATTGAGTAGTATTATTTGGAAAAAGTGCCTTAAAAGTGTAATTGTGTCAAAAAAATTATAACTAAGTGTATTTTTATCCGAAAATAAATTTAATAATGGATTTATTAGAATAGAATCTTTTTTTGGGCACGCCATATAATTTTGACCTACAAGACCCAGTTTAAACAGGGTTAAGTTGTACTAGAATTAAGATTATTTATTTAACGAACTTATTATCTTGAGACGAACGTTTTTTTCTTTTATAAAAGTTGATGCGCTTTTCTTTATATATTTAAAACATTAAAAACGGCGCTATCTGGAAATTCGAATAGATTACAAAATATTTATGCACTTTCAACGGCCATCTCACCAAGTTTAAAAAATTAAAAGAATATCCATAGTTTTTATAGATATGGGAAGACAAAGCAAGATATCAAACGTTTTATAAATCTTGGGTTATTGCAAATCTTAGACTAATGAAGCAGTAATATTTTGTCAGTATGCTTGTATTATCATAATGATTCATTGCTTCCATAAGTTTTGAGTTTGCAATTAAAAAAATTGGCCATTTGTCATCAGAGCACGATAAAGGTTGCTTTCCATATATCTAAAATGGTCGTGAGACAGTTGCGCGACCATATGGAAACATAAGTCGTGCGACAAATTTTGTCTTGCAAGACTGTCTTTCGGTCGTGCCATAGGTGTTGCAGAGATAAAAAAAATCTCTACGATAATTGTCGCGT